TTTTCTCTCAATCTCCCTCTCCCCTAATCCCCTAATCCATCAATCTAGGTGGTCCTATGAAAAGATAGGAAGAGAGGAGAAGGATCTAATCTAGGTGGTCCTATGAAAAGATAGGAAGAGAGGAGAAGGATCTAGTTCTCCTTACAGATCCTTACAGATTGATATTTCAGATCCGAAGATGAAGCGCTTGTAGATCAGATAAGATTTATTCTTCTGAACAACAAGAAAGGTACGTATCGTAATATCGTTAGATCCAATTTATTTGATTTCAATTTTGGCATAAAAGTTTTTACGCATTACAGATAGCATGATTATAGATTTTATGCTAACACTCCCTGCTCGAATTCCCCATTCTTAGTTGAATCTGTTGATGCCTCGGAGGTCAACGCATCATTCGATCCTCTCAACTTGGTCCCGGACACAACATGATCCGACATTACAGCAACTGACTGCATCACCATCTATCTACACACAATCATGTTATAGAATCATCATAGACAATTATCAAATTTGATCGGCAAAGATATACCGAACGAATCATTAAACTCTAATTAGTTTTTAGCCACCGGGATAACTTCGTTATCAAACACAATAGGAATCGGACTCGCACTCCTAATCCGAGTTGGGTCAGTTCCAACACTACCCAATTTCATCTAAATAATTGAATTAAAATAGATAAAACTGGAAATAATAAAATCTAATAATTTAATGACACAATATTAAGTATAAAAACAAATCATATTATAATTCAAAATTTTATCTTTCATCAATTAGAAAGAAAATTTCTACAATTATCTATGCCAGGAGTCCATAGCATATTTTCTTTTATGAATGAAGGTGAATTGAGATTCGAATATGATCAATCTCATACAAATCATTAATCGTAATAACAGAACATATTATCATTCCAAAAATAAAGTAATTAAATAACCTCATGAGAATAGAAGACCTCCATAAATTTTTCCCCATGATATGACTCTTTCTTTGGTTTAGATGGAGAACCTATTTAGAACATCTCAGCAAATCTTTCCCCACGATCAAAAAACTCTTTGATCACTTAAGATAGATGAGAAGAGGATAATTCCAACCATCTATCTAAATAGGAGAAGAGGAAGACTTGAAAAAATGTCTGAGATTTTAATTTCTATCTTTGATTTCATATTAATTAAAAAATAAAACTATACTTTATTTAAACATATTAATATAGGAAACATTATTTTTTTTAAATTAAAATTCTTAATAAGATATTTAGAAAATAAATAAGGGTATTTTCATTAGAAATAAGAAGTAAATTAATTAATTAATTAATTAAGAAGCTTACGACTATAGCTTTTGTCGCCTGCACAACTACAGCTCTTAGAATTGGTACCCATTGTTAGGGGGAGTCTCGCCAACTTGGCAACGTTGGCTCAAAGATCACCTCAGGTATTCGATCAACCTCACAGGTATAATACAAAACCAAATTAGTTTATATCTTATTTGAATATATTTGATTAGTTAAAGAGGTATTTCTCTAAGATCACAAGTTGCCACATGACAACATGTGAAATAATTCTAATGTAGTTTGTAGATTACAAAGAAAGAAAGGAACAAGAAACTAAATTATGATTGTAAATGAAGATTACAAATACTAAGATATTTCAAATCATTATTTCTATATAAATGGATGCCTACCATGGAAGATTATTTTCAAGATAAATTTAAAATATTATCTTCTTCGAATAACAAAAGAACAAATAATTTATTTAGTTTGATTTAATTATATTTTTTATCTCTAATTTTTTCTCTTTTGTGATACTTAGGCTTATAAAAAGGGGCTAATACCTTGTAATAGAGATCATAAAAAAAATAGACTAACAAATTATGCTCTTTTCCTATATAATATGTGGGTGATGTGATACCATATTTTTTAAATAATATTATTCTATCATAAGATGTATATTGATGCAAAACCTATATTTTGTGAATTTGATAGTTATATTTTATTTTATTATTATCTCTTTGTTATTTTTTTTCCCTCTTTAGTTCTCTTTCAAACAAATGAAACCACCTCCTTCAACAATACATCGTAGACATATAATCTATCGATAGTGGTTCATCGTTCAAACATGGGGAATCTCATATCATCTACAAGTGGGCGATATGATAGACTAAGTAGAATAGTAGAACAATAATATAAGTAGATTATTTAGGAATTGTAAATTAAAATTAAATAATACTTTTTTGCAAGCGAGGGGTGTTAACAAACAGATCTAAATAAAAAATAGATCTGAAATACTTCTATGATCCAAAGTATTTGATTTCAAAATATGACTGATATTAATCATAAGCATAAAAATCTTGATTATATTATTATTATACTAAAAATTTTAATGCTAGAAATTTAAATCACATAACAATAGATCAAATATACGATGTATATCTTTCGATATCATTTAGAAAGTTTTTATCTAATCTATAAGTGCACTATCATTGAATTCAAAATCTATAGTATATGCATGAAAAACTAGATTCACTTTCTTTTCTCTTCATATCCTTGACAATATTACTATTAGCAATGAATTAAGAACAAAGGGGAGATAAAAAAGAAATATAATCTCTTAATAATAAGTTTATCTCTCAATAATATCATATATCCACATTGAGTCATAAGGTTATATCTATTTATAAGCGACAATAGAGAGTTTAGAATAAATAATTATGAGTTTATCTCTTAAGAAATCTTATAATAATCAAACTTCTTTTATATTGATCCATGTTCATAATCAAAATTCAATAATCAAAATTCAATCATATAATTAGACAATCATCATATAATCCAACCACTCTAGATTCAAGTCAGATCTTCCCTCAACTTTAATACTTGAGTAGAACCCCTCTTCCAACTCACCACTGCTCGAACACGAAGTGTTCGAAGCTTCTTACACGGTTTTAGCAATGAATCTTCCTCTAAGAAAGACATTTTTACTGGTTCAGCAGGTAGCAGCCATCGCAGCCTTAATGGACTCGATACCATGATCAACGAAAGCAGCAGCAGCACCAACCATGCCTCAAATCCACCCCCAGCTGAGTGCATTCCTAATTCATCGACTGTTTACTGTGATGGATCCTTCTTTCGCTAAGATGTCAAAGCAGGTCTAGCTTGTGCTTTGTGGATGGTAACGACAACATAATCATAGAAGACAGCAACATACATCAAGCTTCATCTCCACTCCAAGTTGAATTCTGGGCTATCTCAAGTTGATGCACTCACAAAAGCCTCCCATCTGAATCTACGAAACTTTATTCTCAAATCCAATTCTCTTAAGGCAGTTTTGTTTTATAATAAATCTAGGATTTTTTTTTTCTGGCTGAATCTATGGGTGTTTTGTCTTTTGAATATGTTAATATGAAATAAAAAGAAACGATCACATGTAAATACAATTCATTCTCAAATAGTAGTAAAAAGGTACTATTAGCTTAAAATTAAACCATGAAAAAAAAATATTAAACTTCTTAAAAAAAATAATTTCAGATTTTAGAAGACTCTTATACTTCAGTTCTATTGGCTTTAATACTTAAGATTTGAATTATCTAGTAGATGTCAGATATTTATAGATGTGAAATATAAGAATTCTTAATCTTTATAATTCTATCTAATCTAATTTTAAAAAATAAAATATCAATTTAAGATCTTTCAAAATATATTTTAATCAATAAAATTAAGAACTCATTATCTCTCTAACTCTATCTAATCTTATTTAAAAGATAAAATGTTAATTTATAATATTTTAAAATTTACTTTTAACTTCTTAACCGTTAACAAGTTAAACAATTCTATAGCTCACAACCTTGTCAATGGAGCATTTTTGTTCTTCTCCAACCTTCCTTAGAGGAGAAGTTTTTTAATTTTATGGACTAATAGGGTCCAATTAGTTAATTGATGATATGATTTTTTTTGACAAAAATAACACTCTTTCTCTCATTACAATCTGTATAAATTATTGGATTATTTTATTGGTGTGTATTTTAGTTATATTTATAACATAGTACGAGAAATTATTTATATATGAAATTATCAAAGTTATTTATAAATTATTGAAAAAAATATCATCGACTAATGAGTCGGTCCGGTTAGATATTTATCAAAAGTGCTAAGTGCCTTCTGATAATTTCTCCCTCTTAAAGTGGAGTGCTGATGTGGCGAACTGATGAGCGAGATCTGTTGGGGGGATCGTTCATTGGGGATGATCTAGTCTTGTAACAGAGAGGTCGAGTAGAAGAATGAGGTCTCCTTTACTATGGGATCATCTCCTAACCACTAGTAGTCTTGCATGATAAGTCTACATTGGAGGCTTCCTTGCTTGACCCCTCGGATGCTTAAGTTAGCGAGAGGCAGAGGGGGAAGAAGACAACAACATGAGCTATGTAAATGAGAGAGTAAAGAATAGAGAGGCTATTGCCTACTTGGCTTGGGGCATGACTTTTATAACTAGGCACTAAGCGATCTGGTCATGCCTTAGCCAAGGCCCCTCTTACTCTAAACTACGAAGGCTTTCATGAGAGCGATTTGCAGTCAATCGTTAATGCCTAGGGAAGTTGAGGCATGCTGTCATTAATGATCATTGATTCTCATTCCTTTATTGTCTGTTAGTCTACATAGTGGAGAGAGTTGGAGGGTGCCAATATTATCCCTATCATTTACGGAAGTTGAGACGTACTGTCATTAATGATCATTGGTTCCCATACCTTTATTGTTTGTTTGTTCACGTAGTCGAGGGAGCTGGAGGGTGCTAATATTATCCCTATCAAGTGGGTGAGTTAGAGGGTGCTAATATTATCCCTGTCAGGTGGGTAACACGTAAGTTGTCTATAATCTCATAATTAATTAATTTTATTTTAAAAAAATAGAATTATTATTAAAATTAGTTTATAATATAAAATTTATAAATAATAATAATAATATTTATGAAGTTTTACATGTCAAAACAATATTGAAATATAAAACTTTGTCTAAATCATCACTGTATATACAGTTTTGCTTCGAAATTTACACGACCATTGTGTTCAATAATAGCATGAATAGCCACAGGAACGATGGATAAAACTCTGATCACCGAAGGAAAGCGTAGAGGAGGAGTCGCAGTTACATCGCTTTCTGTATTATAAGAACTTGGAGCAATAGTGATGCATTTATTTTTATCTTCGGGGGTAACTATTCGGCATTGGCTCATCGTCAACTCTATATCTTCAATCTTACGACAACTCCTAGGAAGATAACTTTTTTGCGAGGGTTCAGTATTTGTACTAAGAACCAATATACCAGTAGTTGCAATCCATTTAACAGCCAATCCTTCAACTTCACCAAAATATATCCTCCTCTCAATCTGTGAGAGAAAAAAACAAGAATCCATAGGATAAATATAGAAATAAAAGTATAAATTTATATCAAGATGAGGTGCTAAGATCTTACAGCAAATTTGTATATGTAGACTGTCATGAAATATGGTCCTACTGTTAGAACCCTGGCTTCGGAAAACATCACCTGCAAATAATAATGATAGCATAAGGATCAACTTCTCATGCTCAACCCAAAATGCCAATGAAAACAATCAAGTATGATCACTGTTTTGTATCTATGGCAGCAAATTAATCATAATATGATCAATTTTTCTCTCTAAAGCTACAAGAAGTTATATATCTTTTGTATAATTACAGTATATATCCAATGTTACCACTATTTAATTTTATAATATAAAAAAAAATTCAGATTTTTTTTATCTCTATTATAAAATCTCATTTTTGAAAGTTAGATATATCTTATGGAATATTTTAGAACTTGTGTTCATCACTTATTCTTTATAAAAAAAAAGAAAAAATAGTAATTGAAAAAAAAAAACAAGAAGATTACCTTCTTGTTCTTCAACAAACCCCAGAGATAAACATTTTCTGCAGATTGCTCAGCATGCTTGCTAGCTCTTTTTTTTTCATTACAATATGCAGCAACTTCAGATACCACTTCAGATGCAGGAACTCTATATCTCACAGCTGCAGACAACAATGTTTCTCTACCTTCCTCAGATTCTGCAGCCTCCCTATCAAAATAAAGACCAGTAAAACATCCATTGCCAATCCCATCACCTGAATCATATGCAGCACAACTCAGCCTTTTCTCCGCATAAGCTTCTTCGGCTTCAACCACTGCAGCCAATGTTCTATGTACAATAATGTCAGGATATCTTCTCAATGGAGAAGTGAAATGTGTGTAAAGTGGGATTGACAGTCCATAATGAGCCCACTCATCTTCTCTGCCTCTCAAATCTCCTGTGCAAAAATAGACTGCTAATTGCATTGTCCTTGCAGCACGTGCCAAAAGAATTTGAAGCAACACGGGATCATTCTTCAGTTTCTGTCTCATCCTGGGTAGTGCGAGCTGAAGTTTGCCGGATGACGAAGCATCCAACTCGAGTTTCCTACAAAATTCTTGGAACTCTTTGAGCTTCATCGACATAGGCTCAGCATGCCTGCGAAGTAGAGCACAGTCTGGGAAAGCCTTGGATATGACCTCTGCAACTGATCTATTTGCCAACAACATCAACTCCTCAACAAGACAACTTGACTCCTTCCTCACACCAAGTAAGCTGTCATATGGATTCCCACTCTCATCCAACAAGAAGACAAGCTTAGGGGTCTCAATCCAAAATGCTCCATTTCTTAATCTGATCTCCCTCATCTTCTTGGTGATCCCATGCAGGCTTCTAAGAGAATCAACAACATCCTTTAACTCAAACTGCCCATGCAATTTAGGTACCGTTTTCCCTGAAACATCAACCTCAAATCCTCCATCGATGATGTCCTGCGCATCATCGTATGATAGCTTGCAGCATGAATGGATCACAGATCGGCCGATCCACCGCCCGGTGATGTTTCCGGTGTCATCAATGTCCCAAGTGATGGAGAAGGCAAGCCTATCCTCACCTGGTACAAGCGAACACGCTTCCTCGGAAAGCTCTGGAGGCAACATTGGCAGCTTGTGCTGCGGTATGTACACACTGGTGGATCGAATTCGGGCTTCTCTATCTAATGCTGTGTCTGGAAGAACAAACCTTGAAACATCAGCGATGTGGACACCGATTCGGAATACTTTTTCGGATACCTTTTCGATAGATATTGCATCATCGAGGTCGGTAGCAGATGCAGGATCGATTGTGAAGGTGCAAGTGTTTCTAAGGTCCTTTCTGGTCTCATATTCCTCCGTAGGGATCTTCCACGGTGCTTCTGGAAGACAAGACAAAGACTCCGGAGAGAAGTCTGCAGCTCTGATTGCATGCTCAAACAATACAGCACTTATCTGTGGCCCAATTTCCTCCGCTCGCCCCAACATGCGGATAACCTGTGCTTTGGGGCAGACACTTCCTTCCTTCCACTCCTCTATTCGAGCAGCTACCAATTCCCTTTCGATTGATACGTCGCCATTGATGAGCCTTTCCTTTACACAACCTGGAAGACTTTCCACAGTGATTACCATCATTGGCAATTTGGAATTTGTAGGTATCAGTTGTATGTAATCCAACTCTCTTCCATATTCTTCTCCTTCAGGAAACCATGGATTCGAAGCAAGAAGACCAATCACTGCTTCACGACGAGGAGAGCTTCTGATGATAGACAAGACTCTCCCAGTTGGTCGCTTCGATGGATTGCAACTCAACGTAGCACGTATTCTCTCCAAAGCTCTTGCAGCTTCTCCCTTCTCGGAGTCCCTGTTCTCAGTTGAGTCGGTTGTTGCCTTGGAGATCAGAGCATCATTCGATCCCCTCAACTTGGTCCAGTACACAACAGGATCCAACATTACAGCAACCACATCACCTTCTATCTACAAATAATAACGTAAAGGAATCATCACACTGCGCAAATGTGATCCGCAAATACATACCGTATGAACATACCGCTCTGTTTTGTGCATCAGCTCCATTAATGAGAACGTCCACCGGGAGACCGTCGACGGTACAGAAGGCCTGCAGCAGCCAAGAAACAAATACACGATAAGAATTATGCAAGAACAGTAAAGAACAAGCTTTGTTACTGACCTCTTTCCGGTCATATGCGTTCACGCGAAATGTTGCTTTAAAGGCACGACCTTTCTGCAAGATCAAAGACTCGATCAGTATGGTTTCCACCACAAGAGTTCATCTCCTATTGTAGCAGACAACAGGTTTACCTCGATCGCCTCTTTGACTGCCTGCTCTGGCCAATGAAGAGCAAAGTTCATCTGCGAATTGCGTGGAGGAGCTGCCACAGCAACAGGAACAGAGGAAGTCGGCAAAGGGTGGTTATTCGGGATCCCTGCAGAACATCAGACAAAAGAAAAAGAACAGATTTTTTGGTCAAATCTTGAAGGAGAGCAGAAGGAACGAAGAGGGTGGAGGCGCTAAGGCCAACCTGTTAGGAAGGCCATGGTGTCGCCTGCGCCGCTGCTTCTCCTCCTCGGCCTCTTGGCAGCTACGTCGAGATAATTAATTCAGATCATTGACTGAACGTCGTTAATTAATTCATATTTTATTTTGCTTATATAAATTAAAATAAAAACTTCGAGAAGAGGACTCGATCTTTTCTTTATCTTAATATAAATAAATAAATAAAAAAATAAATAAAATAATTCAGTAATTTTAGGAACTAGAAAGTTTTGAAAGAACCCTGAAAAATCATAAGACAATTCAGTATCATAAATATATTTTTTATTATTTATATTAAGAGTTTCATATATCATGAATACATATAATTCAGTATGCTTGACTTAGTCAACCAATCTTGTCGAATGAATTTGGCATAAGTTGAACCGCACATTGAACCGGCTCCAACTAAGCCCAATTGTTATTAAACCAGGCTAAATCGATTCTAGTTAGGTTTAATTTCTCATTGAACCAGACTCAACAAGTCAGAAGCGATCTGTAAACCGATATGATATCGGATTGAAACCACCAAAATGAGTTTGAACCGCTTAGAAGTAGACCGAATCAGGACTGAGCCGAGCTTAATCAGCCTAAACCGACCTAATTATGCTTACCTCGACTTGGGTTGGCCGTTGGTCTTTGCCAATCTACCCACGCTGAGACCCGAATTGGGTTCAGCCATTAGGATAACTAGGAATCGAACCAGACCCATTTGGATCGGGCTCGCACCCAAGCCTTGATCCGATCCGAGTTGGGTCAGTTCCAACACTACCCAATCTAATTTTCATTTTTTATAAATTTTAGAGTTCATCTAAATAATTGAATAAAATAGATAAAATTGAAAATAATAAAATATAATAATTTTGTGACATTATCTTAACGAATCAAATTGATAAGATTAATTATTTAATATCATATTATAATTCAAAATTTTATTTTACATCGATTAGAAAGAGAATTTCTATAATTATTTATATCAAGAGTCGACTGCATATTTTCATGAATGAAGGTGAATTAAGATTCGAATATGATATAATATGCATAAAAATATATTCATATAATTAATCTTAATAACAGAACATATTATCATTTAAAAAATGAAATAATTAAATAGCTTACTAAGAATTGAAAGCCTCCTCAAATCTTTCCCCACGATCTAAATCTTTCTTTGGTTTAGATGGGGAACCTATTTAGAATACCTCCACAAATTTTTTCGCACGATCAAATTCTTTGATCACTTAAGATGGATCAAATGATAATTCCAACCAAATAAATAGGAGAAGAGGAAGACTTGTAAAAATGTATGAGATTTTAATTTCTATCTTTGATTTCATATTAATTAAAAATAATAAAACTATGCCTTATTGTTATAGGAAATATTACTTAAAGGTATTATGGGAAATATTTTATATTTTAAAGGTATTAATATATGAAATATTATTTTCTTTTATTAAAATTCTTGATAAGCGTATTTATTTTATTTTAGTTAGAAAATAAATAAGCGTATTTTAGTTTAGAAATAAAAAATTAATTAAGTTAATTTAGAAACTTATAATGGGGGGAGTTTGATACGTGTCACGTAAATAGGGGGAGTTTGATATACACCAAATTAGTTTATATCTTATTTGAATAAATTCAATTAGTTAAGGAGTTATTTCTCGATCACAAGTTGCCATATGTGAAATAATTCTAATGTAGTTTCTAGATTACAGAGAAAGAAAAAAAGAAGAAAGAAAATATAAAAAATAAATAAAGAAATTAACTTATGATTATAAATGAAATTTAGAAGATTATTT